ATTTTCTAAAGCACCTGAAGGACAGACAAGGAACAATGGACGGAAACTGAACAAGGAGAAATTTAATCAGGAAATAAGGAGAAACTTTCTCACAGTGAGAACAATCAACCAATGGAACTGCTTGCCCTCGGAAGTTGTGGGAGCGCCATCAGTTGAGACTTTCAAGAAGAGATTAGACTGCCATTTGTCAGAAATGGTGTAGGGTCTCCTGCTTGGGCAGGGGGTTGGACTAGATGAAGTACAAGATCTCTTCCAACTCTGATTATCTGTTATCTGTTTAGTGTCTCCTGAGGTGAGAATAAGAGACGCATTTCCCAGGCCAGAAATCCGGAAGAACAGGAGTAAGAATTCAGTGTAAGGAAATGTCAGAATCAAATTTTATTTATTTTACTTAAGGGACTAAAGAAATACATAACAGACATGCCAAATTTGGAGGGTACTTGCAGCACCTGTCATTTTAAATTTTAAAATTGATCAAATAGGAAATATTTAAGGCTATAGGAGAGAAAGTTATGTTCACGTGACACCTTCTATACAATGCTGACAATTGTAGAATATCACAGAAAGGGAAATGCCCGCATTTTACCAACAAGGATGTATTGTCCATCAGGATGTACTGAAACACCAGGCAAATATGGCTATTGGCAGGGGACACTGAGAGTGTTAGTTAAGCAATATCATATCTGTATTGCTGTCAGCAGCAAGAATACTTTATGCACAAAAATGGAAAGATACTTTACTTTCCACAATGGATGAATGGCTAGAAAAACAGATGGAACTAGCAGCGATGCCTAAATTGACTGCTTTAATCAAAGACAAGAACATGCCCAATTTTGTTTCTGCTTGGAAACAGCTTCTGGACTTTATGCTTGAGATGGGGAAAAAATGAAACTTGGGTTTTGCTGATTAGATAAGCTTCTTGTTATAGAAATGGCTAGCATATATGAGTATGTAAAAATAAAAAGTTGAGACTGCAATGTTACTATCTTAATGAAATTACCTTAATGAAATAAAATACTTTGTCTAGCTTTCTTTCTACGTCAGGAGTGTCAAACTCACGTCACAGCATCGTCCCCTGGCGTATCAGGACTTTTTCCCCCTTCGCTAAACTGGGAGGGGGAAGGGCCAGCACGTGAGGCATCCAGCCCATGGGCTGTGAGTTTGACACCCCTGTTCTACATGGAAACCATTTTTGGACTTCTTGCTCGATGCTGAAATAAATGCTATATGTTGAGGTCTGGTTGTTTGAATTGTTTGAGATTATAGCAATACCAAACAATATTGAATTTTAGATCAAAAGATTGTTTTATATCTGTAACTGTATTGAAGAAAGTTAGACGTTACCTTTTTTTTCTTTTCACTTTGTATTTTCCCCTTCCCATTTATTCCTTCTTAATTTCCTTGTTTTATTATATTTAAATTTTTCCAGAAATTGAATAAACTAGCTCTCCTTTTCCAATATCACAGTACTTGAGAAAAAAAATAGAAAAGTTATTTGATCAGAAAGGTTTCCCTGGGCCTCTTTGGGAATGCAGTTGCAAAGAAGACAGGAAATTAAATTCTTCTGACCCCAGGCAAAGAATGATGGAAAAATAACAGGAAGCAGATTTTGCAGCTGAGCCCATCTACATAATACATTTCTATAGGTCAGGGGCCCTCCAAACTTGGCAACTTTAACAATTGGGGACTTCAACTCCCAGAATTCCCTAGAGAGCATGGCTGGCTGAGGAATTCTAGAAGTTGAAGTCCACAAGTCTTAAAGTTGCCAAGTTTGGAGACCCTTGCTATAGGTTAAACAACCATGACTGGACAAGTGCAAACCAGAGCTAGACAGAGCACAAACATTGGATGTCACAGGGGTCTCTTCCCCAATGTCACATAATCTGTTTTTGGGTCATCAGAATTAATACAGTGGAGAAAGTCCTGAAATATTTCACAAGAAGAGTTCTCCACTCCTCTACTTGTTGCAGAATACCTTATGCCACCAGACTTGAAATTCTAGACCTGGAAAACCTAGAACTACGCCACCTTCGGTCCGATCTAAGTATAGTACATAAAATTATACATTGCAATGTCCTACCTGTCAATGAATACTTCAGCTTCAACCATAACAATACAAGAGCACACAATAGATACAAAATCTAGGTAAACCGCACCAAACTTGATTGCAGGAAATACGACTTCAGCAACAGAGTGGTCAATGTCTGGAATACTCTACCTGACTCTGTGGTTTCTTCCCCAACCCCCAAAAACTTTAACCTTAGACTGCCTACTATTGACCTAAGAGGTCTGTAGGGGGCGTGCATAAGCGCACCAATGTGCCTACCGTCCCTGTCCTATTTATTTATTTATTTGATTTGTCAATCGCTTACAAGATAACAGGTATAAGTATAAACATAGTTATGAATACATGAAATGGATATGTATAAATTAAAAAAAAGAAACAATAGGACAGAGACAGTAGGTATGATTGGTATTGTTTCTTTTTTTCTTATTTGTATCCATTTCATGTATTCATAACTATGTTTATATTTATACCTGTTATCTTATAATCGCTTGACAAAATAAAATTAAATAAATAAATAAATAAAATCATGAAGTGTTCAGCAAAGGTGAGAGGTTCCATAATCTTCCAAGAAGAAGTCCATGTTCCAGAAGATGCTTAAGATAAGTCTGCCCCCTTGTGGCAGTGTCTCATCATCCGAATGAAGCATTAGATGGGCAAAAGGTTTTGGCTGGGATTAATAGTATCACCCAACTTATTTTATTTATACTTCTCCAACCTCCATTTTTATCAAATAATTCAAAGTGGCAAATATACCTAATACTCCTTCATCCTATTTTTTCTCCATAACAACAACCCTGTGAGGTGAGTTGGCCTGAAAGAAAGTGACTGGCTTAGTTTTCGTGCTTAAGGCAGGACTAGAACTCAAGAGTTTCCTAGCTTATAGCCTGTGGCCTTAACTACTAGACCAAACTGGCTCTCTTATCTTTGTGATGGTGCTTACTGTTAAATCACAACAATACTCTAGTTAAGCAGTGCTTAGGAGAGTTCAGAAATCACTAGGGAGAAAATTGGCAGCATTTTACAATTTGCTTTTAAGAACCAAAGTCATAACTGCACACCATAGTTACTGCAGAAACAAGCAGCTGAATGAGCTGAGAATGATGCAGTTTTTAAAACCAGAGTGCCAGAAATATCACTCTCCATGTGCTCCAGAAATCTTTTAAGACTGTTTCCTGGCCTGGGGTTATTGTTTATGGAGTTCTTTTAATATTGTCTTGTTTTTATTATGTTTCTAACCATGTTTTTAAATGATGTATATGAGATATACAGTCCAGAGCGCTTTCGAATTGTGGTGTTGGAGAAGACTCTTGACTGCAAGAAGATCACTTTGGTCAATCCTAAAGGAAATCAGCCTTCACTGTTTTTTTTGGAAGGACAGATCGTGAAGCTGCAGCTCAAATGCTTTGGCTGCCTAATGAGAAGAAGGGACTCATTGGAGGAGATCCTGATGTTGGGAAAGATGGAAGGCAAAAGGTGAGGGCAGAGGACAAGGTGGTTAGTGTCATCAACGCAATGAACATGAATTTGGACAAACTTCAGGAGACGAGAGGACAGGGAAGCTTAGTGTGCTATAATCCATGGGATCACGAAGAGTCAAACACAGTGACTGAACAATAGCAACATCAACAGCCATCCAGAGGCTTTTCAGAGCGGGACAACTTTAAATCTCCAATAAATAAAGAAGTACTTAAATGCATCCTGGATAAAGAGGACATAGTCTGGGCTGTATTAAGCCTGTATATGGGTGCCTTTGAATCAGTGTTAACTACAGGTGAATGCCTGCAGTTTTCAGACTTCTTTCTGAAGTGGTTTGCTCTTGCCTTCTTCCTAGGATTGAGACAAGGGTGCCTGGCCCAAAGTTACCCAGATGGCTTTATGCCTAAGGTAACATTAGAACTCACAGCCTCCCGTTGCAGAAGTTGATGAGTTGGCTGAAATAGCAAAATCTGACTACTTTGATTTAAGGAAAAGAACATAAATACTTTTGTTTCCATGTGGAAACTGCTTCTGAACTTTGTGCTAGATGTGGAAAAGAATAAAACTCTGACTTTGAGTTTTATAGATTAGACTGATAGATCTTTACAGAAATGGCTTGTTTATACTATTATGGAACAGCAAAAAGTTGTGATATGATGTTGATGCCTATTTTACTGCAACAAAGAGAGTCAACAGTAAATGCTTCTTTTTCTTTCCTCACTCCTCTTCCCCCCTACTGCTCTTCTATTTACTTTTGTATTTTGTAATACTTGGTAACTCAGTAAAAAATGCCTACAACAAAAGAACTTGCAGCCTCCTTGTTTCTACCCCAAACTGGCTTTCTTGTATTATTAAGTTTACTCCTGGGACTACACTTTCAATAACCAGCTCTAATGGATCAGCCGTTCCTAGGAGGCATGTAGTGCTCGGTTTACCTATTCCAACTTAACCCAGGAATCAGAACAGAGCTGGAAGGGCCCTTGGAGGTCTTCTAGTCCAGCCCCCTGCTCGAGCAGGACCATCCTATGCTTTCAGACAAGTGGCTGTCCAGGCTTTTCTTAAAAAACCTCCAGCGACGAAGCACCCACAACGTCTGAAAGCAAGCTTGTTCCATTGGTTCATTGTCCTCCTTGTTAGGATCCCCGGGCTGGAAAACATAGAACATCAGAGTTGGAAGGGATCTTGGAGATCATCTAGGCCGATCGATTTAACCCCGGTTTTCTGGGCGGCGGGGGGGGGGGGACCTTCAGTAAGCCGTCTTGACAACCACACGGCCAGCAGCCCCCAACCACCACGGTGCGCGAACCCCAACAGCTGGGACGGACGGTGCATCAACTCAGCCCCTCGTGGGAACTTAAGTTCTGAGCGAAGTTCTGAGCAGCGTGAGAACCAAGGGCAGCGGGCAAAGCGGAGCATGCCGGGAGTCGTAGTCCGTCCTTGCCTCGCGGACGTCAAGCAGCCGGGCAGCCGGGGCCCATTTCTTCCGGCTGGCGAGATGCCGCCGCCGCCGCCGCCGCCGGGGCCCGTCCTTTGCGGGAGCTGCGGGGCTCAGCGCGCCGCGCTCCGTCGCCCCAAAACCGGCCAGGCGCTGTGCCGGAGCTGCTTCGCGGCCGCCTTCGAAGCGGAGGTGCACGACACCATCGTGTCGGCGCGGCTTTTCCAGCCGGGCGAGACGGTGGCCATCGGGGCGTCGGGCGGGAAGGATTCCACGGTGCTAGCGCACGTGCTGCGCCTGCTAAACCAGCGCCATGGCTACGGCCTGCGCCTCCTGCTGCTCTCCGTGGACGAGGGCATCGCGGGCTACCGGGACGACTCGCTGGCCGCCGTCCAGCGCAACCGGGGCCGCCTGGGCCTGCCCTTGCACGTGGTCTCCTACCGGGAGCTTTACGGCTGGAGCATGGACCGCATCGTCCAGCACACCGGCGCCAGGAACAACTGCACCTTCTGCGGCGTCTTCCGGAGGCAGGCGCTGGACCGGGGCGCCGTTCTCTTAGGGGCGGACAAGATCGCCACAGGTATAAGGAGGACTTACGCCCGGGGACGGGGGTGGCGGACAAGGGTACAAAAACGCCGGTGGAAATCAGTGTTAGGTAGTCCTCGATTTACGATCACAGTGGAGCCCAACCTTTCTGTTGCTAAGGGAGTTGCTAGGGGAGTTTTGCCCCCCTCCCTGTTTTTTTAAGACCTGTTAAGTCAAGGGTCTTCAAACTTAGCAAGTTTAAGGCTTGTGGACTTCAACTCCCAGAATTCCTGAGCTAACATGACTGGAGGAGGAATTCTGGGAGTTGAAGTCCACAAGTCTTCAAGCTGTCAAGTTTGAAGACCTCTTCTGCCCTAAAGCTTTTGGAAGGATAATAATAATGGGGAACGTTAACTTTGGTAGCGTTGTGCAATTCAATTCAATCCGGACGCAATTCAAGGTGCTGGTTATCCCCTTTAAAGCCCTTCATGGCTTGGGTCTGGGTTATCTAAGGAAACATCTCTTTTCAATCACATCCACCCGAGCCATTAGAGCAAGGAGGCAGGGAATGTTGGGAGTCTCACCTCTGAGGGACATACACCTGGTGGGACCCAGAAGAAGGGCCTTCTCCGTGGTGGCTCCATCTCTCCGGAACATCATTCCCCCAGAGATTAGAATGGCCCCCCACTCTAGGTCTCTTCCAAAAGTCACTGAAGACCCGGTTTTGCCAGCGGGCCTGGGGAACCCAGAGAGGGATGGAGCCCATCAGGTGGCCAGTGTGATCTGCTGTGGTCAGGGAGGGGAGTTGGTTTTTGATTTTCTGTTTTTTCCCCCCCCAAATTTTGTTCTATTGTACTTTACTAACTTATTTGATTCTTTTTGTTAGTTTTTATTGTTTTCATTTTCATTTTTTGTTTTAAATATGGTTTTACATTGTGTAAGCCATGGGTGAATAGGCGGCAATATAAATAAAATAAATAAATAAATAAATTGTGGCTACATTCAGACATCACATTGAGTAGCTGGCTGGAGAATTCTGGGAGTTGGTCCATCACCTTAGAAGAGATGAGGCTGAGAAATAGTCTAATATGATACCTAGTTTGGTTTGGATTCAGCATGTTGTGCAAATGCACCTTGATGTACAGCTGAGCAGTTTGTGAACCTGGCTAATTGTATCTCATTGAACCAACTGTAGCAAGAGTGATGCTGAGCATGTGCAGGGTCAGGATCTTCATTTTTAGCTTCAGAACCAAGCCAAACCTTTTTATTAAAAGACCCGGAGTTCCTTCTTTCTCAATATGGCACCTCAATTTTGAAAATCTTCTAAAAGTCTCTGAGTTGTTAAAATGGCCGCTTCCGTGTGTATTACTGATCACTCGAGGATTTGCTAGTATAAACCCAGACCAACTTTCTGGCAGCTTCTGAGGAAGAAGGTTGAGTTTCCAGCTGACTCCTGTAAAAGAAAACCCCAAAGCCTATTTCAGGGGTCCCCAAACTTGGCAACTTTAAGACTTGTGGACTTCAACTCCCATAATTCTCCAGCCAGCATAGAATTCTGGGAGTTGAAGTTTACAAGTCTTAAAGTTGCCAAGTTTGGAAACCTCTGGCCCATTTGCTCCATTTCATCCCCCCTATTACACTTCTTTTTGCTTCGTAGGTCATAACGCTGATGACGTGGCCGAGACAATCTTGATGAATTTCCTGCGGGGTGACGTTGGCCGGCTTCAACGCTGCGCCGAAATCTTGACGGGTGGCGAAGGAACCCTGCCTCGCTGTAAGCCGCTGAAGCACGCTTATGAAAAAGAGATTGTGCTCTATGCCTACTTCCAAGGCTTGGACTACTTCAGCACCGAGTGCGTGTACGCCCCCAACGCCTACCGGGGCCACGTCCGCGCCCTGCTGAAAGACCTAGAAGCTATCCGGCCCAGCTCAGTGGCTGACCTGGTGCACTCGGGGGAGCGTCTGGCTATCCGCAAGGACGTTCGCTTGCCCATTCAGGGCACTTGCCGGCGGTGCGGTTACTTCTCTAGCCAGCCCCTTTGCAAAGCTTGTGTGCTGCTGGAGGGACTCAACCGTGGACTCCCTAAGCTGGCCATTGGCAAAACCAACCGCCTGCAGAAGGCTTTGTTGGAGGGGGAAAAGCCAGAGGCTGGATTAGAAGCAGAGGAGAACTCAAGGAAAGCAAGCTGGATTGGGAGGACAATAGACTTCTGAATTCCCTCTTTTTATATCCTCATTTTCCTGGTCAGGTGGGATGGGATTTCTTTAAAAAAAAAAAAAGATCCTTAAGAATGAATTGCATAGATCAGGGAGTTGGGAAGCAGTGTGCTCCCATCCCAGTTGCTGGACCACAAGTTCCAGCAGGATGGGCAAGGGTGATGATTCGTGGGCAGCCATCTTGCAAACGTCATTGGATTCCCAGCTGCATTTGGTGGTTTCTGTCCGTGTGTTTGTACTAAAAGGGCAGGAACCGCCTTCTGTGCTGTCCTTCCCTTGCCTTCTTAGGTGTGTTGGGCTTCAGGCTCCTTCCTCCTTGGTTCAGCCTTTGCTGCTCTTGGCTGGGAATTGTGGAGAAGCCCACACATCTGGAGGGAGGAGGTTGTGAGGAAGGTTGCTTTCTGTGCATTGCTGCTGTTCCCAAAGTGGCGATTGCAGCCATGAAGTTAAGGGTGGCCTCTAGTCACAGAAGACTGAGGTTATCCTTCATGGAAAGGAGTTCAAGGCTGGAGTAGTGGATGACCAGTTTCCTTGTCTTCTTGTTGTTCCCCATCTTCACACATCACCTCTCCAGGCAGTTCAATTTTCTGAGTGATCTAGAACAGGTCTCCAACCTTGGTAACTTAAAAGACTTATGGACTTGAACTCCCAGAATTCCTCAGCCAACTTTGCTGGCTGAGGAATTCTGGGAGTTGAAGTCCATAAATCTTTAAGTTGCCAGGGTTGGAGACCCCTGATCTAGAAAGTCAACAGTAACCAGGCTCATCAGCTGTGCTAAACAAACTAAAACCTTGGTTGGCTCAGCTATGATTTATTGAGAAAATCTCTTGAGGGAGGTGGGCGGCTTAAGAAATATGAAATATAAATAAAATAAATAAAGCGTGTGACAAATAACAGAGCTTTATTTTGATCATTGATCAATACAAAAATACAATCAATAAAATGAACAACACAAAACTCCCCAGACAACAAAAATTCATTGGGTCCTCTGAACTCTCCGAATTTGGAGATTCTTTCCCACCCCCCCAAGCAGAAAACTGACTAACTTGAAGGTGAAAGTTGAAAGGTAATTCAGAATTCTTTTATGTATATTTTTTCCCCCTGCAGAATAATTTCCACCAGAGGTAGATGATTCATGCAGGAGTCCCCATGCCTCCCTTCTGAGTTCAGTTTCAGATCAGCCTATTGTTCAAAAGAAGTCAAGCATCGTCAAGACATGTTTGGCTGATGCTGAAACTAAGGATTTTGTTACACGTACGTTACTATTGCTCTTTGACAAATAAGAGTTGTCTTGTCCTTACTGAGATTCAAACTACTGTCTGGTCTCTAAAATAGCAGAATTTTTCAGTTTCCTTAAAAACTGCTTTGAACAAAAATTGTTCTGAATTTGTTGCCTCTCCCTTTTGAGGCACCGCGCTACTGGCTATCTCGCACAGCTAGAAACACCTAGCCATCACTTGCTCAATGTCACATTTCTCCCATTTGCAATTTGGGATGGCAGTTATCAAATAGTCATGTCTGACAGGCTGCGCCTCTGATTCTGAAGACCATAGAAAATCTATTTCTTTGTTGCTCCTTTTACAGAAATTCGAACCAGGTTTGTCCTCCTTCTGACCATCAGATACAGTGATTTCCCACCCTCAACCTATGCCCAGGTTCTCCTTAGAGGTGAACTACCATTTGTTATTACATCCAGTTGCACTATCATTTCTACTTGAACCTGTGAGGAACTAATTCAGCCCCTCATAAAGGAATTCCTAGAAAGAGACAACCATAGGAACATCTAGCTACCATAACTATGGTTTGAGGACATTTGGGGATCCCCCAAGCCCATTTGAGAGGTTTGCAAAATCAAAATTATTTGCCAGATATTGAAGGTATTTGGAAACATTTAAAACAATGTCACTTATTATTTTTCATTTGTTAAAAATACCATTTTCCCATGAACAATATTTCATTTACATTAATATCTAGTAAAAGGGTATCCAACCTTGGCAACTTTAAGATTTGTGGACTTCAATCTCAGAATTCCCCAGCCAACATATTGAAGTCCAGAAGTCTTAAAATTGCCACAATTGAACTTCCCTGATCTAGAGGTTTTAATACTATATTGTTATTTTTACATGATTCAATAAATATTCCACAATTGTGTAAATTTTAAATTTTAATACAACAAATATCCATAAATATTACATACAAAAGCTCCTCCATTGTTTTTTAAAGTGGGAAGGAGGCCTGAGGATAAAAAATTTAAACATAATTTCAGCAGAAAATAAGACCACTGTCAACTATAATGTAGCCAAATTTTGTCTTGCTGCTACAAGAATGGGGCAATAAACATCATCAATAAAATTGCATTTCTGTGATACTTAAAATGTTCCTATTAATTTCCTTTTCTTTTAAACTCTTTAAAGTGTTATTTTTTGTGATGTGTATAAAATGTTTATATATGTGTATAAGTCAGAGGTCTCCAAACTTGGCAACTTTAAACCTTTTGGACTTCAACTCCCAGAATTCCTCAGCCGGCTATGGGAGTTGAAGGTCACAGGTCTTAAAGTTGCCATGTTTGGGGACCCCTGGTATAAGTATACACACTGGCCAAGGAGTGCAATAAAGTGTATATACACTTCAGTACGTACAGATAGATTTTGCACAGCAGTATGAAAAATCCACTGGATCTTGACAGCTCAAATTCCTACTACATACAGTTTATGTAGCAATAGCACTTAGACTTATATACTGCTTTACAGTGCTTTACAGTCCTCTCTAAGCGGTTTAGAGTCAGCCTATTGCCCCACAACAATTTGGGTTCTCATTAACACCTCGGAAGGATGGAAGGCTGAGGTCAACCTTGAGCCTGGTGAGATTTGAACTGCCAAACTGCAGGCAGCCGGAAGTAAGCAGAAGTAGCTTGCAGTAACTGCACTGTAACCACTGTGCCACCAAGGTTTTTCTGTAACTAGATATTACATTTTATGTAATTTTAGCTATTATTTCACTTATAATCAAACATAGATTGGATTACTATACACTTATGGGTTCAAGTCAGGCTGTTTTATAGCCACATTTTAATTTGGTTTAAATTTTTTATTCAATGGTTTCTTAAGCTGGACCATTTTATAGGTGTTTACAGATCACTTACTGCTACATTTCTTGTATTGTTCCAAAATGACTGACATACACCTGTAGCAATGTTAGCTACAGCATCCTTTCCCGTGAAGATCAGGAACAATGCTGTTCAGGAACTGTTCCATGATAACATGGCAAAGCAACCAACAAAGGAAATTTAAAGTAATGCCTGCTGCCATTGTTCAAAAGTGCATAGTTAAACAAAGGAATGAATACATCTCTGTATTGACTACCCTAAAGCTTTCAACTTTCCTATTGGATTTGCATCATACCCTTCTCACTGAACCATTTCTACAAAGCACTTTAGTGAGTCAGAAGGTAAAGAGAGGATTGGCTGGGCAATGGCCTGGTTTCAGAATAAAAATATAGGAATGGAATATGAGGCTTAAGATTGTTTCAAGAGTGACTTGAAACTCCAAGCTTGGAATCAGCCTGGAACATGTTTTCTCATTTTGCATACCACATTGAGCCTACATCATTAGGAAAAAGGGAAAATACTCATAAATAAGGTCCAGCAAAATTGTATTTATGGGGAAATTCATTCCCCCCTCCCCCCTGCTGTTTTTAGGAAAAGTGGTAAGAGATCCTCTCATTGCATGAATCAGCTTCAGGATCTCAACACAGGAAGGGTTAGGCCTTTATTCTGGCTTTGAGATAATGATTATTTCTTCCGCCCTAATGATTCTTATTTTTTTAAATCCTATAAATTTGATTTAAAATTTATGATTAATTGTCTGTCCACAAGATTAACACTCAGTGGTTGATTCATACAATAAACTAAAGCTATCACTCAAATTAACAAGCATCCTAGGCTCCCTCCCTTCTGCAACAAAATAAACTATATCATGGCTTAACATGATCTGCTTCTAGACTTGCTGCCAAAAACAAATTCCAGAACTATGCAATACACATATATTCTTAATATATGTATTATATTCTTAATACCATGTAGAAATAGGGGTTTTTTTTTGGAATATTTATTTAAGAATAGTTTTGCTAGTATTTCATTGGTAGTGTTTGCTATGTACTACTAATGTGGAATTATCTCCCTTCTGAAATTTGGAAGGTGTTTGCTATAGAATTTTTTAGTTATCTTCATTCAGGCCTTCTTGTTATGAATATTTTAAGAACATTTGCCCTCTCCAGTGTTTTAATAAATATTTTATTTACTAAATATTGTTTCATATCATTTTAATGTATTGTTTATTTTACTGTTTTAATTGTAAATCATTATGAAATACTTTGGCATAGGAAACAGTATATACATATATTAAACATTTGATATTTTATTCTCTTGCATTTTAAAAGGGTTTTCTAAAAACTTTTGCTTTGCCTTGCATTTTAAAAAGCTTTTCTCAATACTTTTACTTCTGTTACCTAGAATAATATAGTAGCAGGATAGTCCAGGGGTTACAGCGCCTTTCTTTTATATAGATTAGGGTTCCGATCCTGGCTGGTACTACTCCGACACACCTGGTAGAGATCCTTGGGCAAAAGGTTTTATTTTTAAATTACTCAATAGCAAAGATTTTCAGAAATCAGCAAAAAAAAAAAACCAATTTCTCCTAAAAACTTAAAATAATTGGTAGTAGAAAAAGGCAAAAAAATAAGGGTGTAGTTAAAGCCTTAAAGTTGAAACACTTAAAATATTTTAATTGAAAAATAAAATATTTTTGTACAGTTCCATTTATATGTGTGTTTATCTATCTAGTAATTAGTGTGTGTGTGTGTGTATGTATATGTATATGTATGTATGTGTGTATATATATATATATATATATATATATATACACACACACACACACACACACACTAATTACTATATACATATAGATATAAAGTGTGTGTGTGTGTATAAATACACACACACATATCCGGATCAGAAATCATAGCTTAACCTATTCCAAACGGTAAAAAAAACCCAACCCACAAACATTAAAACAAATTAAAAAATAAAACAAAACGGTGGATCGCATTAGATCTTTTTGCTGCAGCCCCACGGCCCAGGCTTCCCGAACCATCGCCCTGAAGCAGGAGCCCCGCCCCTCCGCTCCAAGGAAAGGGGACGCCCCGCGCGATGTGTTTACGTCACGGTTTCGAAAGCGAGCGAGCGAGCAGCGACCAATGGGACCTACCCGCTGGCGGGTTCCCGATGGGCGGCAGCAGTCGCAAGGAGGGGGAAGGGGGCGGGGCCCGAGGAGGGCGGGGCCCGCTGAAAGTCACGTGTCGCGTCCCCGCCGATGTGGTCAGCGACTGGAGGGGGTCACGTGATCCGTTGCCTACGCGCAGTGGGGCCGGGTGCAGATGGCGGACGCCGAGGTTGACGCGGCCCTGCCGCCGGAGATGCAGCGGCTGGCCGCTGGCCTCCGCTCCCGGCTGGGGCAGTTGCAGGCGGAGCTGCGCGAGCAGGAGGCGGCGGAGGCGGCCTCTTCCAGCGCCTATTGCCGAGGGTTCTGTCAGGTAAGCCTGGGAGGGGGGTGGGGGAGGAAAGGGACGTTCCCGGGGCGGGCCTTGAGGTGTGTGTGGAGTGGCTTCGAGGGCGGGAGAACCTCGGTACCCCTCGGTGGGGGTGGGGGGGCTGTGCGGAGGGCGAAGGTGGCAGCCCGCCGTTGCCTGGCACTGGGAGGCGGGGCTGGGAGACCGCGGAGAGATCGCCCGCCGCCGCCGCCGCTTCCCTTGGCCGTTGCCGTTCGCGGGTTGGGGTGGGAATCCCCTTCTCTGCCTCCTCCTCTTGCGGGGGGGGGCTCCCTTCGGGTTTCACCCCACCCCGCTTTCCCAACGGGTCCATCCCGGATCCGCCTCCTTTCGGTTGCAGGGCGGGAGCCACCCCGATATCTTGAAGAAGGGTCCAATATTGGGTGAAAATCAGCTCCCTCCCCCCCCCCCGGGGTGGGGTCTCCCTCTCGCCCACCCGGCCCAGCTTGCCCCTCCCAATGCCGCCCCCGCCACCCTCCAAGCCGACCGCAGCGGGAACTGACGGGGTAGCGCCGCGCGGGCAGGGTGGGCGCAAACTGCCGGTTTGAAACTGCCCGCATGTAATTGCGCGCTTGGCTTCCCAGAAAGCGGAAAAGGTCCTCGGGGCGGATTTGGGGCGGAGGATAGTCGCCGAGCGAAGTGGGCTCGGACCTTCATAGGGGTCCTTCCTGCCTTCGATTTCGGGGGCAGCCTCCCTGCTGTTGGACGGCTTCATTGATTGATTGATGCATGGTTCATGGAGGCAGGAAGATAAATAAATGGAGGTTGGTCAAGAGAATATAAGCAGCTCAAGAGTTCACAGTTCCAACTGTCCTTGGTGTTCTCTTAAGCCAGGGCTCCAAAATTTGGCAACTTTAAGACTCGTGGACTTCAACTCCCAGCTGGCTGGAGAATGGGGGGGGGTGTTAAAATCCACGAATCTTAAAGTTGCCAAGTGTGGAGACCTCTGTCTTGGCTGGAGAATTCTGGGAGTTGAAGTCCACAAGTCTTAAAGTTGCCAAGTTTGGGGACCTCTGTCTTAAGCCATGGTGTGGTTTGCATGCAGACATTTCATTACCCAACTGGGTAACAGCATCAGTGCGCTGACAATTAACAAGCTACACATGAATGGGTAACGAAAACATCTGCAAGCAAGCTACCAAGCTCAGAGAGCCCCCGGGACTTCCAAGTGTGGTCTGTTGGTTTTGCTCAGGAATGATGAAGGAGTAGGTTGGGTGACTTGGAGTACAGGTAAAACTTCGACTTACAAGTGTTCGTTTAGTGACTGTTTGAAGTTACAACAGCACTGCAAAATGTGACTTATGACTGTTTTTCACTCTTAATGGCCGTTATGGCATCTCCAAACTTCACACACATGGCAACGGACTCATATTTATGACAGTTGCAGTGTCTCAGGGGTCACATGATTACCTTTTGTGACCTTACAAGCAAAGTCA